TAAACATAAAAAGAAAAGAAACGGTTCCTTGTCCCCCTTCTTCTTCAAGTGAGGGCAGCCACAAAAGTCCCGAATCTGTTGGAGATGTCCGAGTGCAGGGATCGCCATGTCGGCACTGCAGTCCGGCCCTTTGCCTCGCCCACGTCGTCCGTGCAGTGGACGGAAAGGCACGGCAAGTGGCCGCCCGTCTGTGCCGTGGCCGCGGTCTTGCTCGGGGGCAGGTCGTGGGCTGCAAAGGTGGACAGAGAGACAACAGTCAGCTTGGCACAACGGCAGCGGCACTCCACACATGCGCCCCCGCCGGGTTTGCGAGAGGGCATCCCTGGAGAGCAAGGACAGAGTGGGACCCGGGGAGCGGGACCCAGCGGGAGGAACTCGGGCAGGGAGGGAACTTCAGTCCGCGGGGGCCATTGGCCGCGCTCAAATGCACGGAAACAACCTAACGGAGACGCTACACGTGCACTCCGAGTTCTGCCTGAGCACGGGCATTCAAACCATTTATCCCTTCATTAAAGGCAGCAGCACACTGAGCAATCCTGTCCAGGCGGCACCGAGAAATGGACATTTTGCCACCGGCCGTTCCACCAGGGGCCATGTCTAGCCACAGGAACCACTGCTCATGGTTTCGGAGGAAGAGGAGCGGAAACATGGTGGTCCACCTGCTCTCTGCCCCATGCGACAGCCCACCTCCGCCCTGTTTGGAAGAAGCCGGAAGGCCGGACCCGCAAAAATGCCTCAGCTGAGGGATGAGCCCTGCAGGTCGTGCCCTCCCAGCTTCTTCTGCAGGCAAGTACATGCCGGACCGACGGTCCATCCCTCCCAGCACTCGGTTCGCGCAGTGGCAAGCCAGCTTCCACGGGGTCCCCCAGCGGGATGGGAGCAAGCCGCTGCAGCCATGGCACCTCCAAGCACAGAGCCAGAAAGGCTGGTCGCCATGGAGTCTCCGCCTCCGTGAATTGGGCCCATTCCCTTTTGAAAGCCACCCAAACGGGCGCCCGTCACGACTTCCCGTGGTTTAAGACTGCGCCGTGTGAAGAAGCCCTTTCGCTTCTCGGTCCCGAGTCTCTTCACAGGGTGGGCCTTCTCGGTTCTAGTGTTATGCGAACGGGAGGAAAGGGCCTCCTCCATATTTTTCAACGCCTCTGCCTTGCCTGTCCTCACTCACCCTTTTCCTAAGCCAAACATCTGCGGTGGCCGCAGCCGTTCCTCGGAAGCGAGCCGCTCCAGCCCCTTTGCCGCTCCAGCAGCCCTTCCCTGTGCTTCCTCCAGCACAACCCTTTCTGGCAAGGCGACCAGAACTGAGCGCCGCCTTTCACGTATGGTCACGCATTGGCATGAGGGTGCGTGATCCCAACGGCCTTATTTTTCATGCTGCTCCTGCTTATGCGGGCCGTGGAATCTGTCCTCACAGCAGCTGCGCCCTGGGTCAGCATCTTCACGGAGCCACACTGCGTTCCCATTTTTGGCCTGTCCTCGACAGCCCCTTGCCGAACGGCCTGGCAGCCTGCCCTGAACATCGCCACTGATCTGGTGGGGGACCCGCTCCGAGCAGCAGGACACGCGCAGCTCAGAGGCGCACGGCCAAGCGCTCCAGCGCCACATGCACTCCTTGGAGAGCAGGCAGGGTCCCAGTTCTCAGGCCAACTGGCGCACCAAGGCCACCGGCACACTCCAGCCTGGCTCTCGGAGGGCCTTCCGGTGCGAGGGTGTCCCGGAGCAGTGGAGGCCAAGTGCTCTGCTTCACAGGGTCCACTCCAAACGGTGCACTGCACCGGCTCCAGGCATCTCCTCTCTTCAGCAGGCGAGCTGGCCACAGGCCACCCTGGAGTCACTGGGGAAACATCCCGCTGCGGAGCAAAGGGCTCCCCATGACTCCCCAGGCACCGCAGGGCAGCCTGGCGTTCTGCTGCCGAAGAGGCGGCTGTTCCCGGGGGCTGGGAGCCCCAGGCCGGGTCCAGCGGGGGAAGCGCCCTGGCCAAGCTCAGGCCCAAGGCTTGGCATCCCCCACGCCCTTCCTCTGGGGGCTTCTGCCCACGTTCTCACAGACAGGGCAGGGCAGGAAATGCAGCCGCTGCTGCAGGACTTTGGACACCCCCCGGAAATGGACGAGGGCAGCCTGGGCACCGGCTCACCCGCGTCCTCTCCCTTGGACCAGGAAGCTCCGAGGTGTTTCTGGAAAGCCGACGGAGCGCCCCTGTTCCGCACACCGCTCTCTGTCGAGGGCCTTCGCGGCAGCTGAGCAGCTCTCGCTGGCGCCCGGCGAAGCCGCTGCGAGCCCCAGAATGTCTGAGAACATTCTGACCCGAATTGGTAAGGAGGATTTCCAAAAATATGCTATTGTTGTCAGTCCAGCTACTGTGAGAGAGAGTGGCTGAGAGCGCATGCCAGCAGCGGGTCAAGGAAGCGGCTACGTGTGCAAGGGGGGCCAAGGGCAGGACTGGGGAGAAGCGGTCAGAGGACAGAAGGAAGCCAGCGACTGCTGACGAAAAGGGACTCGGGGAAAGGCAAGATCTGTACTTGCTGGAGAAAGCAGGAGGGCCAGGCAGGGGCCTGAAAAGCAAAGGCCCAAGGAGACAATGGGGTGACGCTATGGGTCACAGGGCAGCAGATGAGCAAAGGGGAACGTGGGGCAGGGGGAAATGCGGCAGTGGTCCAGGGACAGGGAAATCTCCGAGCTGTTGGAGGGAAGGAAGGAGAGGAGGGAGGAGTGGAAAACGACGAATGGTCGTCAGGCAGCTCCCCCCGCAGCCTGGCCTTGGAGAGCCCACAGCACGGGATGGGCGGCCCGACAGTGGGGCCTCCTCCATCACAGCTGCCGCGAGGAAGTCCCCCTCCCGGCCCAGCAGAGGCCTCTTCCCAGGTGTGAATCGGAAAGGCCGGAGACGGCGGCCACGGTCCAGGGCGCTGAGGCCGGGTTCACAGGCCGGAAAGGGCCAGCATGCCAGTGCCACCCCAGAGCCACGGGGCGCTTCTGCAGCCCTCTGAGCAGGCCTGGCGCTGGCCCTGCACCTGCAAGAGCCGCCCCGACGCTCCTGGCTGCTGCTCCACACGCCTTCACCCCTCTGAAGCCCCTCCGCCAGCACGGCAGGCCCCCTGCATCCCCCCCCCCCCCCCGTGGGGAGCGCTGGACCAGGCAGGCAAAGTGGCTTCAGCAAGGGCAGCTGGAGGGGCAGCACAGAGACACGCGTGCGCAACCGAGGGGCACGCGTCCGTCTGGCCGAGGTCTGGGGAACCGGGGCCGTTTCACACTGTCACTTCGATCTCGCAGAGGCAAGGACTCGGCAGGGTGACGTGCCCGAAGGCTCATCCCTCGCACCTCTGCGGCACGTCTGACACAGGCCTCAGCTGAGCCGTCCCTCGCCCGGCCCGGCGGATGCGGCCGGCCCTCGGTGCCCAGCCGACCGTGAAGCTCCCCGATTAAGGTTAAGGCTGAAGGCGCGAGCCGGGATGCTCAGACGCCTCTCCCCAGCCCCACCGCCCATGTCCCTCCGCGCGAGGCCAGGCCCTCCCGCGCGGGAGTGGCTGCGGGGCCGGCACCTCGTTATTCAAATCAGCCCCTCAGGAGAAGATCTTTTGCACCAAGTCTCCTCCGTGACAGCTTGACATATTGGTCTGGACACCCCACTCGTCTGCGCGCACCGCAGGCCACGCTGCCGCAGAGGGCAGCGCAGCCGTGCCGGGTCACGGCAGCCGACGGAGCCGCATGCTCTCCCAGCAGCGCCTGGGAATGGCATGGGCGGCATCCTGCAGGGAGGGGCAGGCGGGCAGGACGGCCTGTGCCCTCGTCCTTGCCCGCCCGGATCCGGAGGCTCGGCCTGCTCCTAGGGCCTCTGCCGGAAGGAAGGCAGGAAGGCCGGCCGGCCTCGGGTGCCAAGCCAGGAAGGACACCGACCTCCGCACGGGCTGCTCGGCCCCGTCCGGAGGGTCCTGCAGAACCGCGTCTGCATGCCAGTCCTCCCTCTGCTGCTCAGCCTCCACGTACCGGAAAGTCATGGAGCGCTTCTGTGTGGCTCCAGGTACTGCCAGCCCAGGGCCTGGCCAACTCGCCGGTCTTTCCCTGCTCAACGTATTTTTTTCCTGGTAAGAAACGGGGAAGGAAAAAGCCGTGGGAGGCTTACAAGTGGGCCATCCACCCAGCAAAATGCTGCGAAGGAGGCAGGGGCTGCACAATGCAACCCACACCTGGAGCTCCCCAGAGGCCTTTGCCATCGAGTGACCAGCACTCCGGAGCAATGGGCTCCTGGCCCAGCATGCCATCTGAGCTCTGCTTTTCTGGCACACACGCGTGGGCTCAGCGGGCCTCCGTCTCGCGCAGGCCCGTGGCCACAGAGGCTCTCCGCTTGCCTGGGGGCTGATGCGTTCCAGAGGCCACGCAGTCCCTGTGCAGGGACCCCTTCTCTGGCCTTCGGGCGTAGAGTTGTGGTGCACCACCTTCCCCGCACCGGCCATTCAGCGATCAGCTCCCACCCCGTCACAGAGGCAGGGAAGCCGGAAGGTGCCCCCCCCCCCCCAAAGGCTTGCACCGGGCATGACGCCCACCGTCCTTACTGCTGCCTCCGCACGCAGCCCTCCCGCACCAGCTTGTCAGCCTGGCAGGCGTCCCCCACCCGTCAAGGGCTCTTCCCTCCACGGACAGGATGATTAATTGAGGGGCCGGTGGCTCTAAAGGCAGCTTGTGTTGGGCCGTGCCGCACGGATGTTTGCCTGGCTCCTTGTGCTCCGAGAGCCGGCAAAGGGCTTGCGCTCTGTGGCTCCTGCGAAGAAAGCCAGATCCGGCAGGGACGGTGCCTGCCGGGAGCCGCGTGGCCTGGAGGTTCCACGCCGACTCCGTCCTCCCCGGATGCATCTGCACAGCCATGTGGGGCAGCTTTGGAAGCAGACGGGCAGGCAGGCAGCCGCCTCCCCGCCTGGCCACTCTTGGTGCAGGATGCGGCCTCACTGGCTTCCCTTGAAGGACGGCGGGCACGGCTTGGCGGCGAAGCTGCAAAGGGCTGGCTGGGCGGGCAGGAGCAGCAGACGGGGCGGGGGGGTCTTCCACACCTGGCTTAGGGAAGGCCACCCACAGGCGGCCTCACCTCTGTGGGAACGGAGGCAGCCCTGCTCTGGAGTCATGCGCTAGAGAGGAGAATCGGGTCACATCTGCGAGGAGTACGAAGGCCGTTCGGGAGAACCGGGCTCTTCTGCGGGAGGCATATGCTCCGGGCCTGGAGGCAAAGCCCTGTGAGGAGA